AGTACAGTCTACAACCACACACACAAGTGCAGCAGCAAACCGCAGCTCTCAGCTTCTTTTTGCTGCTGCTTTTCCTCCTCCACATTCTCTCCCTCCAGCAGCTGTTGCTCTCGCAGCTCCTGCTGCTCCTGCTCCTGCTGCTGCTGCTGCTGCAGCTGCTGCTGCTGCAGCAGCTGCTGCTGCTGCTGCTGCGGTTTCTGTTCTAGCAAAGCTAGAAAGATATCGTGTAGGTGTTCTTTGAGCAGCAGCAGCCGCAGGTCTGGCTGCTGGTATGCTGGGTGCAGCAGCACGGTGTATAGACAGAGAAAGTAGTTGACGAAGCACGGGGGAAATATATATTCTATCCACAGCAGCAAAGTTTTGTGAGCTGAGAGCCGCTGCTGCGGCTGCTGCAGCAAGCCCGCATGCAGCAGCAGCAAACGAACTCTGCTGCAGCTGATACCCTCCAGAGGCTGCAGCACTGCAGCAGGAGGCGGGGGGCAGCAAGGAGCAGCAGGAAGACCAGGGAGAGGAGAAACATATCTCTCATCATGTACTGTTGCTGCTGCTGCTGCTGCTGCTGCTGCTGAGCTCCGCTGGCGTCGAGATGTGCTGCTGCTGCTGCTGCTGCTGTTGCACTTGCTGCTGTTGCTGCTGCTGCCGTCTACATCAGGTTTGCGTTTGTCTTCTGCAGCAGCAGGCGTCCCTTCTTCCGTCGTTCTTTCCTGCTGCTGCTGCTGTTCCTGCTGCTGCTGCTGCTGTTCCTGCTGCTGCTGCTGCTGTTCCTGCTGCTGCTGCTGCTGCTGCTGCTGCTGCTGCTGCTGTGCTGCAGCAAGCCACTTTCTCAGCTCCAGCAGCCGCAGCAAGTCGAAGACATCGGCCCCCCCCAAAAGGATTTCTGCTGCAGTGCAGTTCACCGCAAACAGCTCTGCTGATTGCTGACTAAGGAGACTCGCCGCGGAGACACCCCCCCCTGTCTCCTCCTCCACAAACCTAAACAAAAATAGATATATATACACATACACACACACACACACACATATATATATATATATATACAGAAAGAGAAAAAGAGAAAGAGAGACAGAAAGAAAAAAAGAAAGAGATAGATATATGAACTGAAAACAGCTCTGCTGATTGCTGACTAAGGATACTCGCCACGGAGACACCCCCCCCTGTCTCCTTGTCTACAAACCTAAA